ATTATCCGACTGAATGCTGCTGCAGACGTTGGTCAGTTTCTTTGAACTGGTCTGTGTGGAGGTCACACGGTAATTATTTAATGTAAAAAGGAAAAAAACATTAATACAAAAAGGTCAGACCTTGAACTGTGTTTTTAACGTCTTCATGTTTCATGACTAGACTTACTGAACGTTAGCTCTACTGATAATGGCCTGAAGGCAACGGTGTATTAGCTGCAACGCAGAGATGAATCCAACACACACACAAACATCACCATCACACTGTCGGAGCATGTTGTAACACACACACACACACACATTAACACATTTATGCATTCTATATATTTGTAAGTTAAAAATAGTGACTTGACTTGGTTCCTTTTCTGTCAAAAACCATTGACCCTGTAAAGACAGAGCCCTGATGAATAGGACTTGAGGAGAACGTGACCCCATTTAACCTACATGCAGTAACTTAAATTACCTTTGATTGCTGTGTCTTTAACCACAGTGTCAACACAAACAGTCGTGTTGGGAAAAGAATTTCCATCCGTTCAACAGTGACCGGAGCTCAGCCGTAAATCTGTTGGTAATAATTTAACATCCAACTCTGACCGACCACATTTATGACCTTGTTTTTTATAAACTAAAAGCAGAGAAAATCAATTATTTGTCTTCTTTTTTTAATTGAGTTACAGGTTTTATTATTATTATTATTATTATTACTGTCGTTTCCCAGATTGACTGGAGACGTGAAGTCAATAGTCGCTGATAATTTTTTTACCTCTATATTTTTTTCAGTCACACGGAGCTGCAGGGTCAGAGGGTCCCACTGACAATTAGTGGCAATAGCAGCAATTATTCTGCTACGGCAGCGGTGAATGGTGGAGTGATGGAGACAAACACAGATAAAGTGATTGTAAATTGCTTCTCCGTTGCCAGAAGGTCGAACAATCGAACAATGTTCATCGTTTCAGACCGTGTCGTGGGTTGTGTTCACTCTGGTTCACACAACAGCAGTTGAAGTCTTTCTTTCATGACAATACATTTTCTAAAATATAAATTTTTAAAAATTGCAGTATGTCAGAGGTCAAAGGTCAAGTCATTTAGTCGTCTCCCCTTCCAACCCTCGCCCACTCCAGAAGTTCTTCTTACCTGTGTTTGAGTGAAATAACGGGGCTCCCCTCAGACTGAGGATCAGGTCGTTCAGCATTTACGTTCCCCTCCCTCGGTCTCAGCTTGATTTTTCTGGCAACGTGGAGGCTGCTGGAGTCAGCTCCTCTTATAGGGTCCCCCCCCTCTCCTCCTCTCCCCTTCAACCTCCTCCTCCTCCTCCTCTGATTCTCTCTCCCTTTCCAAACTCACTTCTTTCATCATCGGGAGCGTAAAACGGGGAGGGAGGGACGGAAAACTACAAGCAGAGGGAAGATGGGGGAGAAGATGGACAGTGGAGAGAGGGAGAGTGAGGGTGGGGAATCGAAGGGAGGAGGAGAGGAGAAAGGAGCGAAAAGACGTTGGGCGAGAAATAGAAGGATACAAGAGAAGGATGATGTTAGAGCAGCGGAGGTTAGGGGTTTGATGCTGAAAAGACAGGAGGAAATACCCCCCCTTATGATTACTGTAAATATTAAGTATTTACATAAGTAAATATAAACATATATATATGACGCCATATATACATACTGTATATGTGATAATATTAGGACTGAGTGTTAGAAGATGGAAACATTTTTGCTGCACAAAAGAAAACTGTCAAATATTAAAAATCCTTGTCTTTTGCTTTTGTTCATATTCATGGACTCCACTTGTGAAGCTGTTACGCAGATGCATAAAAGTGTAAGAGGAGCATATCTTTTTTTTTTTTTTACTCTAATTAAACCATGACTTCAATTATTTTTTTCACCTTTTTGCCAATGGACCCTTCATTCATTTTTCTTGCTACTGTATGAGCACTCTTTAGCTCCATATGGAACACAGCTAACTCACTACACCATAAATACCATGATTAACACTGGTCAGCTCCGTCACTTCATCTCAAAATAATGGTGCGGCGGCCCTTCCTGCTCCACATAAGGAGACGTTTTTGCTCCGTCAGTGATGTGGACATTAGGATCTTTCCGGTCAACATCTATTAGCGTTCCTTTCGTCTAATGTCCTGTCAACTCTGGTCACTCATATCTAATCAACACCTTTAATCCTCCACTACCTTGCGGTGACTTTTTCGGCTTCAGATTTTTATTTATTTATTTATTTTTCTCTATTGTACAATCGAAACAACTCTGTCAACCACCGGGAACATCAGATGATGACAGAAAAACGGCCGATACAGACAGAAGCGAGGTGCGATGGCAGACGATTCATGGTCATGGCAGACGGCTCTCAGACAGATGACCTGAAAGGACAGGACTTTCCACTGTCAGGTTTACAAATCAAATGCAAAAAAAATATTTTTTACTCAAAGCAAGGTCATCTGTTTTTATTCACTTATACTTCAACCTTGATTTATAAAGACACACGACCGCATGGATGGACACGCTCACATTTGCCTTTAAAAAAAACAAGAAAGTTTTCATTGTCAAAGTTTTTAGGAGACGCTGTATGCCATGTGGCTGTCGCGTCTCCACCCCAGTGTGGGAGTGACAGTCAGATGTCCTCCAACTTCTCGTCTCTGCTGTGGCAGGAACTCATTACTGTCATTTTACTTTAACACAATAAAACAAAACCAGAGGAAGAAAAACTTTGTTTTTTCGTTTACTGCATTGATGTACAAGTGATTTTGGTCAGTGAAAAAAACTGTTGTTAATAATAGTATGTATTTATGAGGGAAAAAAGGAAACAAAATATAACTGATTTTCAAATATTTCTCTCAATTAAAAGCCTTCTTTTGTTGTTTCATTTAGCTTTAATTATCATTGTTTTTTTATAAGGAGGCTAACGATGTGTGTTAGTCAAACACCGTTCATCACAAATACACATGTACTAAACAAATGTCCGCTGTTCGTGTTTAACCATTTGTTTCAACAGAAGCATTTTTTTTTTTTACAATAACATAAAAGTCCAAGGAAGTTGCCCCTGATCTGTACGACTGTTGTTGAGACTGTTGTCGCTGGTGTCTGGAGCGGCTGAGACGGCCCTACGAAGGTCAATAGGCTATTACGGCGTTTGTCTGAATTAGTCAGTAGTTCATTAGTAGATAACAATCAGAGGACAGACGGCGGTCTGCTCAGGTACTCCAAAAGACCGTCAAGACATCTCAGCCTCGTCATGTCCAAGATTCTCTCTGTGTCTATAGTAAAAAAACACTCATTAAATACTTTGTGTTTGTTTGTTTGTTTGTTTGTTTGCAGGTCCTGTGGCCCAGGAGTGACGTCTGACTGAAGTACGTTTTAGAGTAGAGTTTTTTGGTCAATAGACAGAAAAATAATATTTTAATGAGTTAACTGTAATGTTATATATATATTAATATATATATATGTAAAACTATTTAAATTTAGTAATAACAATAGTATAATGAAAATATAATAATAAATAATTGCAATCTACAACATCACACACATCAACAGTAATGACCAACTAATCTACTAATACTTAACTAACACTAACACTAACCTATCTGTCTACTACTACTAACCTACTAATCTAGTAACATCCACTGTTCAGGTTTCTATCTATCAGACTATCTGGTTGTGATGTAGCAAGTTAAATAAGTTAATTAAATACTTAATACTTTGTACTACTTAGTCACTGATTCTACTGTGTTACTCCCACTACGACGGAGTCCATCTTGAATATTAGTCAGTCTTGTAACTGACGCTAATTCACAGTTGGGAGAAATAATGCATCCAACTCGGTGAGAATTAAATCAAACAACTGAGTCACATTAAAATCCGATTACGAACCAACTGTATGAAACAAATACAGTTTGTTTACAGTTTGTGTCCAGCTTCACTCAGATGACGGCTGACTTACTACACAACAAAAGTGAGACACACCGAGACTGATCTCAGAGTCTGATCCATGAATCACATTTTCCCTCCTCCAAGTGAACACTGTCATTAATTAAACACTCGTTAAGACCTTTCCTGTGGGAAATGGCCGATGACTGAGCAGTAAATTAGACACAACTACAACAGATGCTAATTTCAGTCTGGTGTCTCTCACAAACAAACACAAAATAATAATTTACACAAGACGCAAACAACATCATTTCAAACGTACGTGAATGCGACTGTGATGCTAACGTTTGAAGCTAATGGTGGTATGATGCGCGACATGTGGTCAATCTCAGCGGGCTCTGTGTGTGTATGTGGGTGTGTTCCCTCAGTGAACTTTGGTTTCAGTGACTGTCTCTTGATCTGTCTTCTCTGCTCCACCCCACCCCTCTCTGTGTTTGATTCCCATTTTCTCCTCCAACCTCTCAATAAATTTAAATTAAAAAAGTTTGAACTACATTGATCCTAATGTTAACAGCAGATATGATGTTAACAGGCTGCCCCCTGTAGGTGCCAAGCATATGGTTCCTCTGGGAATTGAACCCATAACTCTCTGCTTTTGAGGCAGGCGTGCTAACCGCTACACTATAAAATCAACAACTAATTCTTTCTAATTCCTTTTTTCCAAATGTTTAGAAGTACAGTGGTCCCTCTCCTAAGCTACCAGTGATACTGTTTAATTTTTTAGGTTAGAAAATATTTTTTATCACAAAAACAATAAAATTATTTTTTAAAAATATTTACCGTAAAATACCGCAATATACTGAAATTCTCTCAAGATTGGAATGAAAAACAATGAAAAACAAATCGCGATACAGAGAGGGACCACTGTACCATATTTTCCAGAGTATAAGTCGCACTTTTTTTTATACCCTGTGGCTGGGTTTCTGTGCCCAGGATTAATGAAATGGTATTAAAAGTAAATGTTTTCTTGTCTTTCTGGGATTATTTCTCTTTCCTCTAGTCCAGGCGTGGCCCGGACACAGGGAGGTGGAGAGTTGTTGGGAAGAGATAACGGCTCTTATCTTCTTACTGCCAGAGGCTGAGAGGCCCGATCAATCAAGAGCTGGTTAAAAGGATGTATTGATTCCTACGTATGAGTCGCAATGAAAGAAAAGAAGGAAAAACAAAGGTGTCGATGGAGCGTTGAGAGGAGGTGCTGTTTACTCCTGTGTAATCTTTGAGGAGCATGATGTTGATCTAAGTTTTTAAGTTTCAGGAATTAGTGGCTGTTGCTCCAAGACAGCAAGGGAAGCTTCCATGTTCAAGAAGAGACTGAGAAGCGTCTAATTCAGAGGTGACCAACGCGTCAGAGGCCAAGAAGCCACGACTTTTACTTGACTTGACTTTGCAAAGAGCCACATAAAGTACATAGGCACATCTGAACTACCCCATACCTTAAAAAAACCAAAAAACACATAGGCACATCTGAACTACCCCATACTTTAAAAAAAAACAAAACAAATAAAAGTCACTGTTACAACTTCCTGTTTACGTCTCTTCATCTGTGCAAATTGGGTTTTTCCTACGTCATCTGCATCAACGCCCATCTGCACGAGATTCACATATTTGTGTGGGTTTAAATGTATATATATGTATTCGATATTTGTGTGGGTTTAAATGTATATATGTATTCCATACATATATACTGTATATATGTGCATATATCTGTGACCTGTGTATTATATGAATAGCTTAGCATTAAAGCTTTAAACAGCAGGGTGACGTTTCATCCAACAGGTCTTTCATCCTTCAAACAACCTTGAATCTTGAACTTTTTCCTGGTCTGGTCCCGCGGTTGTTTGTCCAGTTATCAGTGTGTGGGTGTCGCTCGCTGACACACCGTGTGTCACAGCCCGAACGGAGCAAATGTCACAGATGTGATTCACTCAGGAGGCGTGAGACCTTGTCATTTCCTGACCCACTGTGGGGCCAAAAAGGTTACTGTGACGTCCCCCTTTCCTCTGCACAGCAGACGGCTGCCGTTCTTTCACATATAATTGATTTGTAGTCTATTAAAGCTAATGGTCATCCTCCTCATGGAGCGGCACCGTCAAAGTGTTTGTTCACTGCTGAGACAGTGCGACGCTCCCTCCTCCTGTCTGCAGTTATTATCGCAAACAGACAAAACTGCCAGGTGACTTCGTATGTTCTGTCTTAGATGTAATCACTGTATTTGGGATAACTTTTAGTTTCTTTTTTTATAATGACAAAAATATATATATCTGTGTAGTAAAGTCATTAGAATAGAATAGAATAGAACAGTGGTTCTCAAACTGTGGTACGTGTACCACTGGTGGTACGCGAGCACTCTCATATTTTC